TAATCAAATGCATGAGAAGAAATAATTTAACTGAATGCATGAGTTATGGACCCAATTAGTTACTAAACACCTTTTCATTTCCCTCTAAGTAACCTCTCTTTCATCTGTATCTCTACTCTATAAATTTAACCGTTCATTTTCTTCAAAGCCTTGCATCACCTGCTAAGCCAAATTCCTACAATTACACTATTAAAGCTCAAACAAAAACTCATTTGCATCTAGATGAAAACGTTATCGAATTAGAGGCTATCTTCTTCTCAAGGATCAAATTTTCTTTCTTTTAAATGTAATATTCTATTATTAGATTGTAGTAGCTTTATTTTTCGCTTTGACCGTGTTAATTTCATATATTATATCTAATTTTGTATACTTGAACGGAATATCCAATTATTAGGTTGTAGTAGCTTTTCTTCTTTCTTGTTTCTTCTTATTAGTGACTTTTCTGGGAAGTTGAACTTTTGACTCAGTTTGGTGTTCTCCTTAAGAAACAATTTAGCATTCATGTTTCCGTTAGCATATACTATTGATGGAGAAACTTTTGCCTAAAGTGTAGGTATGCTTCATACCTAGATATCAGTTGCTCTTCAATCTAAATTTAGAAAAGCATTTTCTATGATTAGGCCTTATATAGTTAAGTACTATTTCATTTTTGATGATTGAGATCTAAGGATTGATGAACAATTTGGGAAAGTAAGATAAGACCAATTTAATGAAGGACCAATTGTTATTCGGAGTGCAAGGACAAACTATTCCAGCAAATCTTGGCCACTACAGGACAATTTTCAGGAAGAGTTCCGCATTATAAGCTATTCCTCACACTTAGCCTCCATAATCATATTTTAGAACATTCTAGAATAAATAAGCGTGTTGATAAATAGAGGAAATTCTCTGATAGCTACTACTGATTAATTTTTGAACTAAACAAACTTAAACAGTCGAAGTCAGAGCCCTATTAGTTACATGGCTATAACAACATTGTAAAAGAAATCATGATGACTTCTTGAGCATAACATTTTCTTTATAATTAAGTACTCTATTTATTTTTTTCTATGGGTTTTCCTTTTCTTTGTTTTCTATGTCCATGAATCTCAAACCTTTTAATTCTCTTAATACTATAAATTCATTTACAGTTGCCTTTGTGACTGAGTGAACATCCTCCAATATCCATGCATGATATAGTTACTAATTATTTCATAAAAAAACATTTGAAAATTAATAATATAGAAGATATTGCTATAATTTCATAAAACAAATACATCCACATCCAAAGCACGTGCACCATACTAGTTAAAATAAAATTACCAAGCTGATATTCTAATTTGACCCTATTTTTCAATATGGTCTTTATTTCTGCTTTGATATCAATATAGTTTTTTAATTTGTGCCCCGAGGACAATAAGGCCATTTTATTGTGAACTTTATTTTTTGGAAAATTTTTCTTCCACACCCTGACCTATAAAAATTATTAAATCTACACCCTCCTCCTTCAACCTCCACAATTCAAAATTCTTTCACCATTTTGTCTAGTAAGATCCTCCTTCACTCTTTCTTTCCCTCTCATTAATGGAGCTCCCTCTTTCTCATTCAAACTCCCCCAATTCAAACCAAAAACCTAACTCAATTTGCTATCGATTTGGATGAAGTTTGTTCGGGTCGGATTAGGGTTTATGTTTGAATTGGGGGAGGTTCAAGGAGAGGGAGGGGGGCTCAAAAGAGGATTTTATTGGGTAAAGGAGTGAAAGGAATTTGAATCGGAGGAGGTTGGAGGAGGATGTAGATTCAATAATTTTGATGGGTCAAGGGGATGTAAGAAATTTTCCAAAAAAAATACAGCTCCCCAGAGTTCTCACCGCCGGCGAGAAAAAAGGGTCTTATTTTCATTGGGGCGCAAGTTCAAATACCATATTGACGCCGAAGTAGAAATAAATGCCATATTAAAAAACACGGTCAAGTCAAAATACCAATCTAGTAATTTAGCCATAAAATATATATTATGTCATAGAAATGAAGAGAAGATATGTAGAGATCTTGAAAACTCATAGTGAACCAAGTTCACTATTTAGATGTTACATATAAAATCCATAAGAAAATTAGATATCAAGCAAAACAGGTGTTTTTTGTGCTCTTTTAATGACATGCCTTGGAAAGAAGCTATGGACTTATATGGTTTGTCGAAGAGAGGTTTTTAAGCAATCGCATCTGTTTAATTGGTATAAAAAAATTAACACGTCATATCTACTAATGTTAACCGTGCTCCCCATCCAGCAGTAGTGACAGATTAGCAGAGGATTAGAGTTGCATTTTATTGTTGGCGGGCAATGGCAAAGAAAAGACTTCTCCAAGTTCCTCTGAAATAGAACACAGAAACCCCACGCGTCATTCTTTTTCCCATATTCGTCCATCCCATCATCTTTTACCATAAAGGTTACTCAAAGGTACTCAAAGGATAACTTGTTGCATAATTTAAATCTACAATTGAGACATCATCATAATACCTCAACTTTTGCTGATCAAATCCTACTTTGGACACTTCAAACTCTCTCAACAAGAACTTACAACACCTCCAAACTATTCTTGCTTTCTCTACTAGTGATCAAGATTCTTCTTTCACATCAATTGATATTAAAATAAACTCACCACATTAATACGAATACATACCCAGTGTACAATGACCCTAAAGAACACAAAGTCCACAAAATCATAAATTCCAATCGTTTTTAGCGTCCAGTTTCACCCCCTCAAGACAAAAAAAAATGATCGGATCGCATAAATATCAACAAAAGCATCATAAACTCTAAAGAAACAGATGATTCAAACCTAGGAGCAAAGATCTCTGCACAAAATAAGAGGTGAATTCGAGCTAGGGTTAGGGTTAGGGTTAGGGTTTTTACCCCCACTGGACGGTGAGCGACTCGTAATCCCAGTACTCCTTGGGGCGGACGACGTTGACGTCGGCATAAACCCTAGCTTTCGACATGGCGGAGATTGGATCTCGATCCGATTCAACAAGTAGAAAGGGAATTATTATTCGAAATAAAGAAAATAAGGATAAGAATGATAACAATTTTATTGGAATCCAATTGGGGCGAGGGCCGCTATTGGAGGCATCTCAATGAGGTCGTCGAAAGAAAAAGGAAGTTCAATATCTATAGATTTTGTGCGAGATGACGACATTTTTCCCTTTTTCTTTTTTCTTTTATTTTTTTATACTCTTTTTTTCACTGCTGGATTGTCTTTGGGCCAGTTCGGGCCTTTATGGGGCCAAAAATTCAGAGAAAGTGGAAGTCTTCATCAACCGCAAGAGTCTCAAGTATTTTTATACTTAGAAGGAGCTTAATATGACGCCAAAGCCGATAGTTAGTACTCATGACGTATTATGATATCGATCTTTAATATCTTCCAGGTAAAGTGAATGTTGTACCCAGTGCACTAAGGGCCTGTTTGTTTCGGCCAAAAAATGCAGAAAATGAGGGAAAATGGCCTTTGGGAAAACTGACACAGGGTGAATTTGTTACTTCCCCTCACAATCGGGTGTTTGCTTCGTTAAAAAGAAAAAAGAAAGTGAAGAAACGTGCGGGCTTTCTGACAGCTTTTTCGCCCTTCCATTTTCCGCTCGAAAACCCCTGATTACAGCGGAAAACTCCTCTTTGTTCTCTCCCGTACAAAAATCTCCGATTGCTCTTCCCCTTTCCACTCGTTCTGGTTACCCCTCTCTCCCGCTCCCGCCCCTCTCTCCCGCTCCCGCCCTTCTCTCCCTCCCGCCCGAATCAACCAAGAATTTCGACCTCCTCCTTCCCTCACGCCTTCTAATCTAGGGTTCAACCTATTCTCAGACTCAGACCTCCCGTCCACCCACTCCCTCTTCGGCGTCGACATCGCTGTCCTTGCCGACGACGCCCTGCTCCCCCTTGCCCTCCACCACCACACCTCCTACCCCTGAGTCGTCCACCTTTTGGGTCTGTTTGGATCGCATTTGTGCTGTCTGACGCCGATTGAAACCCTAGCCTTCGAACAAAAGGGAAAACAGTACAAGATCTTGGTTGATTTATGGAGGTACAATGCTAAAAATCAATTCTTTTGTATTTATTTAATTTTTTTATGGCTTTCATTTATCAATTTCCTTCTTCCTTTGACGCCAGGTTTAAAATTTGTCTGAGTTTGGGTATTTTGACCACCATTTCCCACTACGATTTGCAAAACGACTTCAAATCTGTAGTTGTTGCTTGGCAGGTGTAGATATTGGAGATTATCTACTACAGTTCTCTGCTTTCTGCCACTAGGAAGGTAAAAATTTTTACTGGTGATTATTCTGTGTATTTTTCCAGTTTGCATGTCATGTATTGGTTGTTTTTTGAGATTTTGGTATGCAGACATCTATTTATTATTTGAAAATTTTGATTGTAGAAATTATTAATAGCTTATCTAACTAGTCTTAATTTGATATGTATAATCCTTGCAACGTATATCTCATAGAAATTATTAATAGTATGAGCTTGTATGGTTATCTGATTTGTTCTCATATGATGCGTTGGAGAAATCAATTTTGCAACTTATATCTCTCAAAATAAAGAAAGCATAGATGATAAATTCGTTATTGTAAGAGGATCAAGGTGAATGATTTCACCTTGATGGAATGAGAGTATCCTACATATTTCTAGTGCGACGTTTGTATTTTGATTAAATAGTTTGATTATCTACAGATAGGAGAATTTGTCAAACATTTCATAAATAATTATGATAATTTTCTTAAAAGATTTTGATCATTTGCATTTAATGTTGGTATTTGCTTTAATATGATGTTTGTATTTTAGATGGATGGTGATCTCGATGAAGAGACAGTAATTAATATGTGTTCGGGTGCTGCACTATCTGTCTTAGTTTTGGTTATGACCTTCATGAGGAGAATGCAAAGCAGACGTAGATCTATACGTGCAGGTCCTAGTGTTGAGAAAACAATTCAATATCAAAATAGAAAACAACACTTGGATCGTATATATAATGGATTTAGTGATAGTTGTGTCAACTATGTTAGAATGCGTAGTGGTGCTTTTGTGAAGCTTGCAGGGATAATGAGGAGGAATGATTTATTGCGAGACTCAAGACATGTTACAGTGGAGGAGCAACTTGCTATGACTTTGAATATTTTGGGGCATAAAACTAAAAATCGAAGTATTAGGTCACATTTTATTAGATCTGGTGAGACTGTGAGTAGGTATTTCAACAAAGTGTTAGAAGCAATTTGCCTCATACGATCACGCTTTTTAAGACAAGCACAGAATGAAGTTCCACAGGAGATCCTTAGCAACCCTCTATACTATCCTTATTTCAAGGTATTCTCTCTTTAATTTGTGATTAAAAGCATGTTCATCTAACTTAATTATATAAATTGTAGGAAAATATTACTTGTGTGATGCGGGATACACGACCATGCCGGGTTTCATCTCCCCATATCGTGGTGTTCGTTACCATTTGAAGGAACAAATAGGAAGAACACCTAAAAATAGAAGGGAATTGTTCAATCTTAGACATTCTTCTTTAAGGTCTAAGATCGAATCTACATTTGGTTGTTTGAAGAATCGTTTCAAAATTCTTACCGCAAAGCCTCATTACCCTTTCCGCGCACAAGTGGATATCGTATTAGCTTGTGCAGTTCTTCACAATTATATTGCAATGGTGGACCCGGATGATGACATATTCAATGAGACCGTTGAGATCGAAGATGATGAAGGTGATGTTGCTACGGAAGATGAGAATAATATTGTTGATTTCTCTCAACCCCAAACTCTAAGGGAGCAAACACAATCAAGAATCGTATGGAAGGATCGTAGAGATGAAATAGCTTGGGCAATGTGGGTTGATTATTGTGGAAAATATAAGGGAGGGAATACTAATGAAGTAGGCATGTGATGCAATGTCTTAGGTATACTATCTTATGTTATGCATTTTTCTATTTCTTGTACTTTATTTTATGATGGTGTGATGCAAAACTATGTAAGGTTAATTGAGAAACATTTGTATGTTACAATTATGTGTTGTATCGATTTTTCTATTTTCATGTACTATTATGTGTTAATTTAGAAACATTAGTATGCTACTATTATGTGTTGCATTCTTTACTCAACTTGCGTTTGTTTTTCACATTTCTCTACAACTATTTTCTAGGTATGGCCGACAAGGGTTCAATTCGGGATTTATGCCTTATCACTCTTCACAAGTTGGCCAAGGTTCTAATCTTTGGAATAATTTTCAAATGCATGATGCTAACTTTTGGGGCATTGGCCAACCACCCCCAATGTCATTCATGAGCATGCTAAATGCTCCTCCAACTTTACAACGTCAAAGTTGTAGCATGGGTGAAACTCCGTCACCTAATCAACAATTACAAAGCAACAAGAGAAGTGATATTTGCCTCGATGGTGATGAAAGTTCATCTCCTAATCCAAAGAGGAGAAAGAAAGCTATTGCTCATAAATCTAAAAAAAAAGAGGCTTACAAGCGGAGAGTTAACCAAATATGGGAGAGTAAACATGATGATTTGCTAATTTCTTTTCTTGCAAAGTGTGCTAAAGATGGAATGAAGGCAGATAAGAAGTTCAAAAAAACCGCTTATTGTAGCGCCGCCTTTCATATAAATGAAAAATTAGGTTCATCGTTCACCACCGAAAATGTGGAAAATCGTATGAAAACTATTCGTAATAGATTCTTGGACATGCAAAAATGTCGTAACTTGAGCGGTGCCGGTTGGGATGATGCACAAAAGATGATAACTATGGATGAGGCTTGCTTTGATAGATGGCTAGAGGTATGAATTATTTTCTAGTGGTCATTACACCTAAAAATATTTCTAATTTGTTCAATGTTGTCTATATAAGTATTTGATATTATGCCTTAACTATGCCTTAACTATGCAGGACAAGAGTATGAATAGTTCTAAACTTAGGGAATACATCAACAAGCCCATGAAACATTATGAAGACCTCGCAAATATTATAGGAGATGATGTTGCTAGAGGAGATTATGCGGTAGATGTTATGTCACAATTTGGTGGTAGTACACATTTTAGTATTGGTGTTGATGATGATGATATTAGTACGCCAACGGTGAAGACGCCTAGCTATGTCTCTTTAGATGAAGATGATATTCCACTACCGAAGGTTCTAACTATGCCACCAAAATCCAATCCATCTTCTAGTTTGAACAAAGCTAAAAATGACGTGTCAAAGACGCGTAAAGGAAAGGGGGGGAGGTCTAGTGAAGATACGGTGCTTATGCGTGAGATAGTAAGTGAGGTAAAACAATTCACCTCATCTATGCGCATGGTGAGTATGCATTGGACGGAGAAGTTGGCAAAGGCTATATTTGCACATGATGATGAATTCGACATAGAAATTCTTGATAACTTTTATCAAGAATTGCATGAGAATGAATCACAAGCTAGGTTGTTTATGGGGAGGCCAACTATTATGCAAAAGAAGGTGTTGACTGAGTTCATGAAGAGTCATCCTCTTGATTAGATTGGTGGTATTGTGGATTGCCTAGCTTTTGGGATATTTTTGTGAAACTAGCTAATTATATCCATGTTTGTGTAATTATTTTTGTATGAAAATGAGCTAGATGATTGCTCATCCTTTTGGATACATCAACAATGATAGATGTATATTTTGTATAAAGCTAATGCTACTATCTCTATCATTTGTGCAAAGCTAATGCAACTATCTCTATAATCATGCATCTCAGCCGTGACTTTAAATGTTTTATCGAATATTATTTGGCTAATGCAAACTTGTTTGAACAGGTTTACTAGTGGGGAAAGGTGAATGGTTTCACCTCGTGCAATTAAAGTTAATGAGGTATGCATGTTTTGTGTCATGATGATGGGCTTTTTTCAGATATGCAGCCAAAGTTTATAACAGCAAATGTATTGGCGAGGCAATATATTGCAGCCAACATTGCTATTATAAAATTCATGGCGGGGCAGATAATGAAATAAATAGCCTTTTCTGAGCACATTTATTAGTTGTGTGCATTCCTTATTCATTTCCAGCAACTATCTTTTTTCAGTTGTGTGCTTTCCATCTGTTTCTTGGCCTTATATTCAATTATGGATTTCTGTACTTGGATTCAGTTGTGTGCTTTCTGTCTACTTTC